TTTGGTTTAAACAAATCTCAAAAATTCTCTATTTTGTTCTCTATCATCTCTCTCGTTGTCTCCCATCCTCTGAGGACAGTTTTACTTAATTCTGTAGGGTTTATTTTACAGACACCTAAAGGTTATGGAGAATAGCTGAGAATAGCATGATGTTATCATGTACAGGGGGTGAATGACAAACCAAACTTTGGCTGATATCATTGAGAACAACATGGAAGTGAGAGCAGGCAGTGAATCTATGTCCCCACTTATCAGAAGCAAACATGGAAGGTTACATATGTAATAAACTATCAGAGTTAAAGACATCCAACACAATATCTACTTAAAATAAACATACATGATGAATACCAATTGGCTATGTAATGTACACGTGGCTGATGACTCAAATACCTGTGTCTAGTTTCATAGCCTGTTCTTACTACAGGGGCTATTTACACAACCGTCCAGTGGAGATTAGTAAATACTGACATCACAAGACCGACACATACAGGGAGGGAGGAAATGCCACAGTTGTCCTCCTATCTTCCCCAGAGTTTTAAACTGGGGGTAGTGATAAGGGAACTTCTGAAAAGAAGTTAAACTTACTTGGAGAGTTGTCAAGATACATTTTCCACTTGTCAGCTGGCTATTCTGCTATCTTTCTAAAGAAAGGAGTGCTGAAAGGATACCCTCAAACCAGCACCATCTTCCCAATTTTCTATCATTTTCCTTAATGTTTTCAAGATCTATGCATGCCATATTTGTAACAGCATTTAATGTCTTTTTATGATGAAATAATATCCCATTGTATGGATATAAGTCATTTTGTGTACCCATTTATCAGTGGATAGACATTTGAGTTTTTCCCACTTTTATAGTATTCTAAATAATAGTTTTATGCACATTTATGTCACACTTTTATGCACATGTTTTAATTTTGTTTGTGTGTAACTCAATATGGAAATGCTAGGCTCTATGGTAAATCTACATTTTCCATAGTGGATGAGCCATTTCACAATCACATCGTGATTGTTTGAGGATTCCAATTCTCCACACTGTGAAAAATGCTTGTGATTTCCTATTATTTCTAAAGATATCTATCCCTGACCTGAAATAATGCTACAAGGCTACTATGATACAATCAGCATGGTAATGGCAACAAAATAGACCAGAGGATCAGTGGAAGAGAATAGAAGATGTGGACACAACTAAAAACATACTCAGACACCTTCTATTTGACAAAGGGTCCAAACATGTCCACTGGAAGAAAGACAGCCTCTTTAATAAATGGTGCTGGAAAAACTGGCTTTCCACATGCTGAAGACTAAAATTAGACTCTTGTCTATCACCATGCACTAAACTAAAATCAAAATGGATCAAAGATCTAAATATTAAAACAGAAATATTAAATCTACTGGACAAGACAATAGGTGGTAATCTTGAAGACATAAGTGTAGGCAAAGAGTTCATGAACAAAACCCAGACTGAATGAAAAACATTACAAGGAATCAGCAAATAAAATCTCATTCTATTAAAAAGCTATTGCACAACAAAAGAAATCACCAACAAAGTGAAAAGAAAACCCAGAGTGTGAAAAAATTAAAGCCAGTTGTCCCTCAGACAAAGGTCTTATATCTAAAACGTGTAAAGAATTGAAAAAAATCAGTCCCTCCAAATTCAAAGGTCCCATCCAAGAATGGGCATCTCAGATGAATATACACTTCTCAGATGAAGAAATACAACTGGAAAATAAATATATGAAAAAATGTTCAATATCACTGGCCATTAAAGAGATGCAAATTAAAAGAGTACTGAGATTCCATCTTACTCCAGAAAGAATGGGTACCATCAAGAAATCAAACAATAACAAGTGCTGATGGTGCTGCGGTTGTGCTGGTGTTCTCCACTGTTGGTGAGAGTGTAGACTGATGCAACCACTGCATAGATCAGTGTGGAGATTCTTTAAAAACTAGGACTAGAGGTATTCAACCCAGCTACTTCTGTCCTGGATACCTTCCCTGAAGAATGAAAAACATCATACCACAACAAGATATATGTACCTATGTTTATAGTAGCACAATTTGTAATAGCTAAATCTTGGAAACAACTCATTCTCTCTAAATGAAGGTCAGTACAGCTTAACCAATCCCTCTCTCCAGGCAAGAGTTCAAATTTTACAGTTCAATATTTACAGAAGATTATACAAAGTTTGTAAGAAATGATTAAATAAGTAAAGTTTGAAAAACTCTTAGAAACATACATTGAAGAGAACTGAGGATAGAAACACTATATTTCAGAATGTTAAAAATTACAGAATAGTGAACATTAGTAAAAAAAAAATTAGTTACAATGTAATTAAATCTCAAAATGTAAATGTAAGTGGACCATCTAAAGAATTCACACAAAGTCCTTTCAGAGACTAAAAAAAAAATTTTAAGCAGCATGAGCTTCAGTATAGGCACTAGTTGATAAGGAAAAATAAAACAGAAAAATAGAGAAAGGTTTTTTTTTTTTTACAATTTTTTTATTTTAAAGAGAATTAAAAAATAACAATAGCAAAATGCTAACAACATAGACAAAAATGAAACAAACCAAAAACTGTAGGAATAATACATGGTTTCAGAACAAAATGATAGGGATTAACAGTGGTTGTTATATTACATATTTTTATCTTTGTCAAAGTTGGTCAGATTGCCAGATGTAAGGATGCAAGATTAATCAAACAATTAAAGAGAATAAAAAGGGATAAAACTTAGATCCAAAATCTGGCAATTTTTCTATTACTTAAACATGAGGACAAATTAAAATATATTTTTACATAAATGTAGAGCTAAATACTTTCAAAGAAAAGGGATTGGGGGAGCATTGTGATTAGCAGCAGGGCTTTGATGGGGAATATTTTATGTTCTCAATGAAAACTGAAGAATCCCAAGTTAAGAAGATATTTATGAAGATTTCCAAAGAAATAAATTATTGAGCATATATATCTTAAAATATAATTGTCACTTAATATTTATTGCAGATTTACAGATAAGATTCCACGTGAATGCCACATGAGAGAGATGAATATGGAAAAAAAACCCAAAAAATCAAGCTGAAATTTTTGTTTTCTTCTAACTAGTATAGGCAGTTGCAAAATTAGTTTTAATAGAAAACAGAAAGTGAAATTAGGAAAGTTAAAATTGTATTAATACTCAACACAAAAAGACACAAAAATATGCAATTTTCAATTTGGTAGTAACATGGAGTTTGAAAAACAAGAACTAAATAAAATTATCGAAAAAATAATGGGAAAATGTAAAATGAAAAAAAATTAATGAAAGCAAAGATCAAGAAAGTTGAAATATATTCTGATTAATGAAAATATTGTCCTCTAATAATCATATTTCACAGAATAAACATTTTAAAAGTTACTTCAAAATAGAAAATGAGAATGTGCAACATATATTTTAAATTAAAATATTCTATGAATATTAACTAATAGATTAACACATAAATATAATCAATGTTACAAAATGCGCAAATATTTCATCTGTGCAAATTAACACCATGTAATTTAACACAATAATAAAGCTGGTTGCAAAACTAAAAATTTATTCTCTAATATCAAAAAAACACGCTCTAGGATTTGCCTTTAAAAATTAGTCAGAAAATGTGTTGGAGAGTATTAAAAGTGCTTTTAATATTAATGCTGCATATAGTTTATTAAGTATTAACATTAATGTTGTGCAGTTTATTGAGCATGAATACAATGTTAAAAGTTTCCATTTTTTTTGCAGTCGCAATGATATATTTTTACTATAGTTTCTTCTTTAAACAAAGTGTAGAAGACAAAATAATCAAAACTCTAAAGTGATATAAAATAATATGACAAGTTGATGGCATAAATTGTTTTTTCCTCACTCTTTGACAATCTAATTAACAAATCACTTGAAAAGCACTGCTCTAATGCATATGTGTCACTCATAGGTGAATCTACAATTTCTACATTAAGGTCTGTGAAGAAGTAGAAATACATCATACATTGAACGTGTGAGGCCTGAGATTTCAAGATAGATAACTCTAGGGTCAAATGAGGTTGAAAGAAGAAAATGAAACACAGCTGTAGGCAAGACAGGCATAGATAGAAAAACTATATGTAACTAGGTTACCATACCTCAATGATATTTATGCTATGGAGATAATGGAGATTTAATATGTGATATGTTTGTGTTAGTATATCTGAGATATAGCTTTAAAATTAGCTATTTCTTTTTGTTATAATTGTACTGAGACATTTATTTAGGAGACAAATCTACTTAGGGTACATATTCGGTGATGATTGTTTTGAATCCAGGAAAATGTTCTCACAAGAGCAAAACAGGCTATAATTTCAAGAGAAGTAGATGTTTCTGTTAACTTCATGTCTTGATTTATATTCAGCAGGTAGTATGATTTAAGAAATGCAAACTACTCAAAATGAATATATTAAATAATAAATAAAATGTATGTGTGCATTAATAGATGAAAAAATATACAAGAGAAGGAAAGGAGGGAGAGGAGGAAGGAAAGAAGGAAGCAAGGGAGGAAGAAAGGAAGGAAGGAGGGAAAGAAAGAAGGAAGAAAGGGAAAAGTAAAGGAGGGTAAGAAAGAAAACAAAAAAAAATGAAAGAAGCAAAGTTAGGATAAAATTTCCAGTGACAATTTTAGATCTCTAACCAAGGAGCACAGGAGACCCAGTATATTATGCATTTTCCTCAGGAAAAAAAGCTATCCAGGATTTTGCATGAGCTCATATAAGCAGAAATCACACAAATTTCTCCCAGGGTTTCCCTAACAGGATAGCTCATCCATCTTTGAAACTGAGATGAAATGATGTTTCTGCAGTTTCTACATCCATAGTGCACAGGAGCATGGAAATGTGAATTGAAAATTGCCGGTAATAATGCCAATAGGTAGGAAGGTATAGGAAACGTTTCCTTCATGGCAAACACATGAGTCTTCCTAGGAAGATCCAAATTCTTAGAAACAGAACACAAGGGTCATCTTTTATTCAGCACAGTGAGCACTCGCTCTCTTATCTGTTTGGTCCTCACACCATAAATGATGGGATTAAGTACAGGCGGAATCACCAAATAGAGGTTTGCAACAAGAATGTGAACGTAGTGTGGAATGCTGTGTCCAAATCGATGAGTGAGGAAGGAGAAGACTGACGGGATATAGAAAACACAGAGAACCGCGACGTGAGAGCCACACGTGCTGAGGGCTTTTCCCCGGGCAGCCTGAGACGGGAGGTGGAAGACAGCACGGAGAATGTACACATAGGAGATGCCAATAAGGACAAGATTCAAAAGAAACAGTGAGACCACAAAGAGTCCGTAGATAGCGTTTATGCGAATATTTCCACAGGATAACTTTGCAATGCCCATATGCTCACAGTAGGAATGGGCTATGGTGCGAGCATGGCAAAAAGGCAGCCGGTAGATGAGATAGATCAAGGGAAGTAAGAACAATGCTGGACGAATTACAATCCAGAAACCAATGCCCACCAGCACCCGAGATGTCAAGATGGTTGTGTAGTGTAGTGGAGCACAGATGGCCACATACCTGTCAAAAGCCATGGCCATCAGGACTTCAGCCTCCATGCCGGTGAAGGCGTGGATCAGAAACATCTGAGCCACACAAGCTCCAAAGCTAATCTCATGAGCATCAAACCAGAAGATACCCAGCATGCGGGGCACCGAGGTGGTAGAAAGAGCCAAATCAACTGTTGAAAGGATGGCCAGAAAGTAGAACATGGGCTCTCGGAGGGCCTGCTCTGTCTTGATGACTATCAAAATCGTGGCATTCCCCATTAAAGCCACAAGGTAAATAGAACAGAAAGGCAGAGAGAGCCAGCCGTGGATCTTTTCCAGACCTGGGATTCCAACAAGGAAAAATGTGGTTGGGTGAAATATACTGCTGTTATAGTGGTATAACATTCTGTGATAGAGGAAATTCTTCCTCCTGTGGTTGGAATGTGGAAAATATGAGAGTGAGAGAGAATAATCAGAGGAGGAAAAGGTAGTACATAAGCATATAAGTTGCTAGCTCTAAGTTTCGGCAGTGTTGAAGTCAGTCACGTTACTATAAAAATAAGTCTCTTAATGAAACCCATCATTGAATCATCCTCCTAATCATTTAAATTGCTCAGGACATGATTGGATTCTGAGTTTTCAGTCTTCCTGCTGATAGTCTTCTAATCCTGAAATGGAGATTTGCAGCAAAGTCAGTGCACACTTCCAATCTTTTAACCTCCCAGTTATTTTTGGAAGATAATAGACTGTGATCAAAATCTGAGAATCCAGTCTTTGGTAAGAGTCTCTGTAAACATTAACACAGTTCATGGAGCAAAGTTAATGGACTCGGAAGGAAGCTTTGAATGCCTTTAAGCAATTCATAATTAAAATGCCTTCCAAATCCTAGGATATAGGCACTCCCACAGAAAGTTAAATTCTTCTAACTCCTCACTGACTACATACAGACACATTTATAAAAACCCTGGCCCTATTCCAGTAGCTTCTCACAACAGTGAAGCATAAAATAAGCAACATAGCTGGATGTCCTGAGGCAAGTCTTGGTTCCTTGAGAATCCTGCCCTGCAGAGGAAATACTAGTTGCTTCTGCTGTACCAACTGCACAGAGGATCAGCTAGGAAAGGGGTGAGAGGAGCTAATGACACTGCACACTCTGTCCACCATCCACACCACAGCAGTCCTTCTCAGAACCTGTGCTAATTTCATCTAAGCCGGGAGGTCACGACTTACGTGTTCACTTCTGTCATCATTCAAGACCCTGGAATGGAAAGAGTAAAATCCTGACAGCCTCCGATTGTGTTGGTTTGCTAGGAGGTATCTTTTGTAGTTTTGTGGAATTTCAATGCTTCGACAGAGAGGGAAACAACATGTGCTACATCCTGAAGGAACAGAGAATGATAATTAAGTTAAGCTTTCAAAGGGCTTCAAATGAACCAAGCCACTTAAAATGATATAAAGAGAATTTTCCTGTAGGCTGTGGCACAGATGCTTCCAAAAGAAAGCCTGGAGCCTTGCATTCATCCTTGGTAGTGGCTGAAATTTCTAACCATATTTTTAATTATCTTGCTATTTTCAATAAGGTGACAAAATAAATGAATTTTCCGTATTTGTTAATCCATTCCAACACAGGTCACAAAAACATTGCAAAGCCTCAGTTGTTTCTACAAAAACACAGAGACTCTGGCCAATTAATATGTTGTCTGGCAGAAAGATAATGGCAAAACCAATGGTGTAGCATCCCTGTTCGTTACTTTGGGGCTAACCCTAGCAGCCTGTCTCAGCGGTATATGTGTACCAGCCTCATTAATTCCTCCTCCGATAGAAACTGAATTGATCTCATGGAATTAATAAGATTGTTAAGCCTGAATCTTCATGAGAAGTTTTACACATAACATTTAACTTAATATATAACTTATTTATGAATAATACATACCCACTACTTGTATGTATTGTGATTTAGTATGGATAGATTTAATTTAACACTTATCTCTTTTCCTGCTGGGCCTATGTCAGCCACACAGTCCAGAACTCAGCCTGTGTTGCCGTGCTTCTCTCCATGGATGGCCACATCACTCACCAGGAATCATAGCTGCTTCACCTCAGCCTTCCACAGAGTGCCGAGAAGTACCATACCTGCTCTCCCTCAGGGGTAGCAATGGAAAGGGAACTTTGTGGTAGGTTTCTACCACCTGAGGCCTCTTTTCTAATCTTGGCTTTAGACAGAGGTCAGAGATCGAGTCCCTAGTGACTGCTCTCAACCTCTAGATTTGCTCCTGCAAAAAAAAGAAAGAAAAAAGAAAACTGGGAACACAAGCAAACTAAGATGTGTGGATGTACAGAGGAAATATAAAAAAGTGTAGATTAAATACATAATTATTGCTCACTTTGACAATATACAGAAAAAGATGTTTAAGCTGATAGATCTTTTGCAGAAGGGAAGACACAAAGATCTGGAGGGAGGGGGAATGAGGAGAAGGAAATGGAAGAATTAAGATGTGTTATGCATATGCACCAATTCCCTTGAGGAATGTAATCATTATGTACTGCGAAGATGTCCTAATAAAAATGGGAAAAAACTAAAACTATGGATTAAAAAACATAATTCCTTCTCCACATGAATGTGATTCTGTGACACTTCTATACATGCGAGAAACTGGCCACTTTAATTGCAAACATTTTAAATAGTAAGAAAGGCTTCTTTAGCCTTTCATTAGCTTTCAATGTTTGTGTTTCTGCTCAGTGACAGATTTTTCTTAATTACTAAAGGGCTTAGATTTTTTTCTTGATCAACATAAAGACACAGAGCCAAAATATTTCACCCAAATTGACTTCTGTGCATGAATTTTTCATTGCCACAACTTATTCATAAAAAAATCCTATTGATAAATATCTAAAATTTCAGGTTGTGAATTACTAAGAAGTATGAAGTCCGTGATGCTGAAATCTCGGCTTTAACATGTGATAGCTCTGGAAGTTTGGATGACTTAGATACCATTACTACCTCTCCATTTCTTTTTTAAAAAATTGGACTAATAATAGTACTTCCCTTGCTAGGTAAATATAAGACATAAAGTAAACATGAGGCATCATGATTAATATCTTATATATGTATTAAATCTGAGGCATCTAGGATTATGTCACATATATATATATATATATATATATATATATATATATATATATACATTAGTACTTTCTTTTTCTTCATGTGTAGTTTGTTTTAAAATGTATGGTTGTTAAATAATTATTTGTATTATTTTAGATTTCTGCTCACAAGGACCACTTACGATATATGACTTATGCAAAACAGATTGAGGAATCACGTATATTACCAATTTATGTACATGTTTATTCTGAATTCTACCACATTTTCCTCTGAATTTTGAAGTCAATCATGTATGTATCTTGTGATTTTTATTAGAGTGTGATTATTTTGAGTGAAAAAATAGATCAGGTTATTATATAATTGAGGTTTCTGAGAAGCACTGACATGAGGAGTAATATCCTACATCTGATTTTGAGTATCTTTTCCAATATTCTACACAAATATTTAAAACATCTCCACATTTACAGCTTTTGTTTTTTGTGCATATATAGTAAAATATTTTCTTTGGTTCAGTCAAATTTTCACATCCAGTAGAAAACCAACCTTATGGTATTTGCCAGGGGCATTCTTTGTTGCTGTTGTTATTGTTTGTTTTTTTCCATGCAAATAAGGAAGCATCTAAAGTTGGAAGCTCTTGAAGATACTTTGGATCCATGAGGGGTGTCCTAGGATGAAAGTAAGTTATAGAATTGCAGCACCAGTCAAATATTATCGAAATTATTCTCTAGTGAAAATCATGCTGCAGTGGCAAATGAAACACCAAGACATCACCCAGGATTTGGAGGTAGATTTATTAATGTTGATGGACCTGACCCTGAATCATTGCCAGTGTCAGGTCCAGATCTCTAGTAGTTTTGAGCCTATGGGAGTTTGCAAGCAGGAAGTACAGAAACAGAATATTTGCCAGTTATTCATTGGTTACATCTTACAGCCTTATTACTGATTGGCCTAAGGGAAAATTATATCATACAGGCAAGTTCAAATTATGGGAAAGCTCAGAGTTACAGGAAACACTTGATTGAGGTAACATATGGGTTCAGGATGGGGTTGGTTAGATAAGGGAAGTAAACACTTGATGCTGGAAAAAACAAATCTACTCAGGGCAGTAGCTAGTTGCAGACTGGTATAGGACCTCAGAAATAAAAATTTAACTATTTTCTTTTTCAATGTACTTATTGAAATAATTCTTTTTAAATATATGTCTGCACAATTGTTATGATCTTTGTCATTTTTGCTCCCTCTTCTGCTCTCCCATTCCCTCTTCTGGGGAAAGAAATTTTAAAAGCTCTAAATAAAGGAAGAGCTACTTTATATCTCTAAACTAAAATTTCATTGTAAGGATGTATTTCCTCACAATGGGTTCTATAGATTTAACACCATTTTATCAAAATCCCAGCAAGTTGCTTTGTGGATCTCAGGAAAATGATTCTAAGCTTTATACAGAACAGCAGAAGATTCAGAAGGACTGAGAAAAAATTGAATATGTTGGAGTACTGTCTTAGTTACTTTTCTCATTGCTGAGACAAAAATATCAACACCCAAAGTTAAAGGGGGAAAGGATTTAGCTCACAGTTTATATAGATTTCACACTATAATTTGCTGGCCCCATGGCAGGGAGGTTTGGCAGACGGATATTGCCAAGAAGAACCGTTTCATGGCAAGTAGAAGACAGCAAAAGCAAGCAAGCAAGGGACCATAACAACATCTTTCTGTCCCTTTTATCTTATCCAGGCTCCTCAGGGTAGAGAGCACTCACACCCTTAATTCTACTGCCATTGAGCCTAGCATTGCACTATGAATCAATTCCAGTGTCACACACCGTAAATCTAGCTACCTCTGAAAATACTCCACCATGACTGCATGAGGCTTTGTGGGGACTTCTAAACACAAGTCGCAAGTACTGATGCTACCCATTTGATACTTGTAATAAAGCTGCAATAATTACAATAGATAACACAATAGAACAGAACAAATGCTAAAAGATATATACAAATATAGTGACCTAATCCTTTTTTTATCTCTTCCTGTAGTTTTTCTGTATCTTTATTTATTTCGTGTTATTTTTATTAGTATGCAGAATAAGCAAAAGCAATTGCATGTAGAAAGAATAAATTTCTCAACAAATGGCACTGGAAAAGCTGAAAGAGTATATGTGCAAAACAGAACAAAGACAGAGAACTTACTTCTCAAATTTAATACAAAACATTGATGAGCCAAATAATCAAAAAATTAAAAACTAAAAACAAAACAAAATACTACAAAAGATAATGTAAGAGAAAATTTTGTGGCCTTGAGTTTA